CTGATGCATGCTCTGGCTGGTGCAGGGTCAGGCTCTTGGGCTGCTCCAGCATTTTTTCCCATGTGTTCAGCCCATGTGTAACCCTTTGCTGCGGTGCCTTTGGCAGAGGGAGCAGAGCTGATCTCGAACACGGGGCTGTCCTGGCTCTATGCATATAAATATTTAGCTTGAAAGCATCTAACAGTTTGCAAAGAGCCTGGGATGGCCCGAGCGTGTTTAGACTGCGTGCACAGCAAAGGGCACTGATGCCTTTAATCATCCTGGTACGTATTCGGTGCTTTTATCCACAGAGCTTCACAGTCCTTCAGAGAGGCTTGTCCTGTTCATCTCTGCTTTGCAGATAAGCAAATGGAGGTGCAGCCAGGGAGGGCTGGATTTGCTCCAGCTCCAGAGGATAAGCGTTTGAGGCTCCTCATTTTGAGCCAGCCTACTTTGTGTTTCCTCTCCAAGGCCAACGCTCCTCTGATGAGAAGTGACAAGGCACCAGCAAGAGTTTCATAGAACCACAGAATGGTTTGGGTTGGAAAAGACCTTAAGATCATCCCATTCCAACCCCCTGCCATGGGCAGGGACACCTTCCATTCGACCAGGTTGCTCCAAGCCCCATCCAACCTGGCCTTGAATGTGGCCAGGGATGAGGCATTTACCACTTCTCTGGGCAGCCTGTGCCAGTGCCTCACCATCCTCACAGTAAAGAACTTCTTCCTTATATCTAACCTGACTCTCCCGTTTTAGTTTAAACCCATTACCCCTTGTCCTATTGCTACAGTCCCTGATGAAGAGTTTCATCCATGTTTTCTGGTGGTGATGGTGGTGACCAGTAAGGCTGGTGCCACTTGTGCTCATATCTCAGCATCGCTGCCCATGTCTTGCTACACCCACCTCCCCTGGCTGCAGCCAGGCAATAGGTTTGCAAAATGGCTCCAAATGGCAGATGAAAGGCAATCCTGCTTTGCATCATGGTGCAACATCTCTCCATTAGGCTGTTTTATTCATTTGGTATTGCTTTTCATAGATGCTTTAATATAAAGTAATTAGTAGTACCAAGGGTAGCACCAAGACAAGAACAAATCGGGTTGTAACACATCTCCTCTGCCTGGATGCTCCATTTGATGGGAGCCCAGCAGGAAAGCCTCCTGCCTGCACCCATCTGAGTTCCATAGCCAAGAGCACCATGAAGGGAAAGCGGTGCCCTGGGGCTTGGGGAAGCACCACCCAGAGCTTGCTGCTGCTGCTGGAAGATGTCAGAGGGATGCCTGCCCTGATCCCAGCATCTCCACTCCTACGGTGGCTGAGGAGGAGCCGCCTGATCCCTAAGCCAAGAAATGAGCATGTTTTCCTCTGGAAGTCACAAAGGCTTTAATGAGAGCCTGATCCAAGGCTTTATAACCCTCGTTTTTAGAGATTCCTTTTGAATTAACACATGTTCTCTCAGTTCAAATGCATATTTCCCCTGACCCACAGCTTATTTCACACAACATTCTTCCAAATCAGATTTTTCCCAGGAACTTTCACTGACAACAACTGTCTCGCAGCTTCAGCAATGTCTAGCTCAGCTGATACAGCCCTCCAGAGAAAATACTCCTAACTCATGGGTCAACCTCATATGGAGGCTTTCAGGCACAGGGTGGGAAGGAGCCTGGGCAGGAGCTGGTCCTACCCAGGGGAAGGTGGCATCCCTGAGCATCCCTGGACTTGTCCCAACTGCTGTTGGCTTATAGAGATCACCCTGCTTTCCCCTATCCCCCTGTTTAGCCACAAAGCAGATTCTTTCAGGGGATGACAAGTTTAAACCCAGCTTTTGGCACCCCAAAGGTACCCCTTTGCATCCCAGGAACCTTGCGTTTGCCAGCCCCACAGAGAGGTGCTGTGGCCCAGGGGACTTAGGTCGCATCCCAGGCTATGAGACACATGATCATGTAGCAGGGCCCTGCAATGCCTTTTCATTTCAGAAACACAACCATTTTTTCAGGGTTTGGGTTCCCAAGGCCACCAGCTTTCCAAGAAATGTTAAATCCAGTAAAATTCACCCAAATCCTATAATCACTCATGGAAACAAAGGCTAGACTGGTTATTTTTGCTCAAAAGTTGGCAGGTTCCCAGCTTCGTGACATGCAGCTTAGCTGAAAGAGAAATCTCCTGTGGGCAAAACCATGCATCAGCGGGTTTGGTTGGTTGGGTTTGGGGTTTTTTGGGGGAGGGAAAGGAAGAAATTAAGGAATTTCAGGGGGAAAGAAAAAAAGCCTTTAAGACAGCCTTGAGGTTCTCTTTAGCCCCAAGGCTGGAAGAAGAAAGTCCACGCTTACCCTATGTCTGTTTTCTCCCCCACCCCAGCTATAAGAGAAATGGGTAGGCAGGGTATTTTTAGGCTGCTGTTCCTGCTGCAGATGCAAGGAAAGCCACTGTTCCCAAAGCTGGCCAGAGCTCTGTGTGCTCAAACAGCTACGGGAACCTCTGCCAGCCCCTGCTCCAGGGATATAGTGCCTGGGGAGGGTTTTGGGGACCAGGAGCTCACTCGTGGGTGGCCACATGGGGGTTGGGGCTAGCTTAGCTTTATCATTTGAGGGCAGCTGCCAGGGGCTTTCTCACAGGGAGGTCTGCAAAAGATGAACTGGGTGCTGCTGCAGCACCTCATCACTTTGATGCTTTCCTCATAGTTTGCTTTGGAGCGCTGAGGGTGGGAGGAAGAACACCCACTCGTGTTCCATACACATCAAGGGGACCTCAGGAAAGGTGCTCCCAGCTCTGGGGTGCAGAGATGGGAGCAAAGACACCTCACTGCCCGATGCCATTGCTCTTCTCCAAACCTTTCCCCAACCCTTAACAATCTCCTGGAAGTGCAAGGACCAGAACTGCACAGAGCCCTTGAGATGGGGGTGCACATCTTTAGTAGCTTTAGAGATGCACAAGGGCGTTCTTAATCCTACTCCTTTCCTAACCACCCCCGATACATGGGTTGCCCATACTACTGCCAGCTGTGGAATGTTTGGGTGAGAATGGCTACCATAGGTCCGAGCTTTCATGCCTGAGTGGCTCATTTGTAAGGTGAAGCACAGCCTGGTTTTCCCTTTATGCACTCATTGGTACAACAGCTTCCACCATTTGTGCTGTCCACTTTCAGTTTCATTAGAGCTTTATGCAGTTCCCCAATCGCCCTTCTTTAGCATCCCAAATAACTGTTGATCATCAAATTATCCCTTGGGTTTTAATGACTACATTACCCAGCTCAGGTCTAATGACACAGGCCACCAGCAACCTCTTCCTGGAGAGAAACACTCCCTCTGCTTCCCAGCTTTAATCAGATATGGGAGGACATTGCTCTTTGTGTCATAGCTCTAGAGCTTCTTTAGAAGCCAACAGCAATGTAAAACAGTTCACCCTTACCAATGTGCTTTTTGAGTCCTTAAGAGAACTCAAAGAGATTTGTGAGACATTAAGTGCTTCTGAAGAAGCCATGTGGACTCTCCTGAGGTAATTAATGCATTAATTACATCCAATGCTATAGTTTCTGGTCATTTGAAAGAAAGAAAGGAAGTCACTGAAGGCTTTGTTTAATGTCTGTGCAAAGGCAGTGCAGCTACTCTGGGCCAGGAGCTCTTTAGTGAGAGGATACAAAACACCTTCCAGGGCTCCCTGTGCTGCACAGCCTCGCACCAACTACTCACCTTGCCTGGACCCCTTAATCCACACACCGGTGGATTTAATACCACTGTATTAAAGGCAGCAGCTTATGGAGAGGCTGCTGGGCAGTTATGAGCAGGGCTCTTAGGAGGAAGAGCATTTAAGTAGAAGGGCCCCTCAGCACCCAAGTCTTCACCTTCAAGGGTTGGTGAAAGCACGATCAGTGGAAGCACCTGGCTCCAGCAAGAGACCAGGGCCAGCACAGAACCCCAGGCACAAAGGAGGCAGCAGCCAGGACAGTTACTGGTGGCTTACAGATGTAATGGAAGCGTACTGGAATTCGCCGATTTACTTGAAAATAAAACATGACCAAATGAAAGAGGAAGTGCATGACACTGATTTAGTTTTGTTAAATGTAAATGATAGCACATGGTATTTTAGACAATTTAACCTTTGTAATCGTGTTGCAATGAATTCAGCATCTGAAAGCACCTGCCATGTAGAAACACTTCCAGATAGCAGTGAGGCACCATCACCTCTCAAGTAGGCACAGCAAGTGGAGGCAGTGGTCTGACAACTCAGTCATCCACGTTAAGGCTTCCTGTGGTGAAGCTGCATGAGAAAGCACCAATCCAGAACGAACTCATGTTATCAGTTCAAGTGGTTTTTTTCCTTAAACAGGCTTCCCTTTGAAGCAGCAGCTTCACCCCGAGCAGGTACCACCTCATCTGCGCATCTCACCTCCTGCCAGCATGGCTACAAGCCGGTCTCCAGCAGGAGGCATCCAGCCAGCGCAAACTGCACTGCACAGCTCAGGGAAAGGCTCCTGCCTGACCCAGATCTCTCCTGTCTTATAGGCAGAGAAGGAACAGCGAAGCTGCTGCTATTGTGGGTCACAGACAGAGGCGGTGACACAGTGACTAACTTAATTGAGAAAGGGAAAAACCAGGGCAGAGCACCAGATGCTTCAGTGCATGCTGAAAGGTGAACGCATCTTCAGTTTCCAGAGCTACAAACAAAAATAGGTTGAAGGCTTGCATTTGTGTCAGAAATATTCAGTCACTCCTCCTCTCCCCCCCTGGGTATCAAGCAGAGCTGACACAGCACAGGTGGATCTCCAGAGCTGTAGTATCTTTATCATGTGCGAAAAGCAGCAGGAAAGGGAGCAGTTGCTGCCTGCAGGATTCCTGCTCACACCACGGGAGCCTGCAGAAACCCAGCACTGAATGGCCACAGGCATGACAGAAGTCTCACTGCTCACCTTGGCCTTAAGGAAAATTAGCTACCAAGGAAAAACCATAAAGAAGTGTCTGTGCAAGCCTGCATAGTGCCTGTTGACAGCTGCAACAGCCAGAGCCACAAAACCTGTACAGGGCTGCTCAGCTGAAGGGCCTTTTCCTGCACTGATCCTGAGTGAAACCAGATGAAGAAGGGCATGGATTCAAAGTGGGGCTGTGAGCAGCTGAGCTGAGGGAACTTAGGAGCGGGAGAGGTTTGCAGACAAGCATCTGTATTTGGAAGGGGAAGAAACAGAGAGCATAAGGCAATTGATACTGGAAGGACAGACCAGCAGATGCCAGATCCTTTTTTCTCCATTTAAAGTATGCCAGAGGTCTCAGGCCACTGTGCCCTATGGGTCTGGGTTTTCTGATGCTTCCAATGGTCTCCTAAAGTGTCTCCATGCAACAAGTCCCAGCCGAACAGCAAAAATGAAGCACGTGATTGCCAGCAGAACAACTAGAAAACAAAGACAGAAGCACGTTAGTGCATGAGAAAGTCAGTCCCTCTTGTCATATCACAGCTCCTAGTACAGAAGCATTCAGGGAGAGAGGAAAACAAGAAACCCCCTGTACAGGAACCACTACCCCCCATCAGCGTTTCACTGCTATCCAGTCAAACACCCAATGCTTCCAGGTCAAGGAATGTCTAAAGGGGGGGCTTTATGGCCACAGAAAGAAAAGTGCATTACATTAACGAAACACTCCAGGAATAGTTGAACTATATAAAGAAACATGCACTAGTTTGGGAAAAGCACATTCCTGACCTACCAGCCAAACAAGCTGAACCACTAAAGATGCCATTGCAGGAACACAGTGTGCCAGATCACACATACCCTCACACTCCTGGTGGCCACAACCATCAGGAGATGTCTCCAGTGCCCTCATGCCTTTGGCAGACAGGCTCTGCTAAGTCCTGTTGGGTTCTTTTGGGCACTACCAAGCTCCAGCTGCCCTTACAGCCAAAGGGAACACACGCTGGAGTGACCGCAATGGTGCCAGTCCAGACATTAGCTTTAGCACTGGTCCATGGCAGCTTCTGCTGATGTTACAGTGGAAACGGGCATCTCAAACTGCTGCAGCAGGATCCAGAGCTCACACAGCTCAGTCCCTTTCATGCCAGCGTAACACCACTCAATGGCATAGCTTTTGCCAGACTGATTACACAGTATTTGGACAGCTTGAGCCCTTTGACAATGGATGACTACACTCAGCTACAGTGGCATGCAGCAACCAAACAATCCTGGGAAAACAGAAGGCTAGCCCAATTCTGCATAGGAGAGGAGCATGCACAGAGTTTTGAACTGTGAAATTTAAATACAACCCCTCTTTAGGTCAGAAGCTTATGTACTGACCCTATATCCTAAATGATATAGAATAAATGGAAGTCCACAGCCCTCATCCCAGCCCTCCTCTTCCTTCCGCCCACCCCCTGTCAAATGGAGCTACAAACAGAGGACCCAAGTGGATAATAGAGAATTGAAGGATAAACATATTGCACTGGGAAGTGAACTTGAGGCAACACAAGGTTTGAAGTCAGCCCCAAGGCTCATGGGCAGTGATTTCTGCTCTACTCTTTACTTTGCAAGATTAATACCTCCTAATAAATCCCTCTAAATACTACTTTCTACGAGACAGTTCTAAATACTACTTTCCTGCCCTTAATAAACAGGAAAGATGTAGAAATGTTTTCTCTCCTCCTTTTACAAGAGTTGGAAACAGCCCAAAAGATTCACCTATAAAAACACCATTTGTTGTTGGGAATGAAAACAAGAAGTTCTTGCATGCGCTGCCAGTCAGAGCTGTTATGACCACTGGGTAGACTGTGAGGTTATAGCGGACATACTGGTCAAGGACAAAGTTTTCTAGACAAAACCTGTGAAGAAAAAGAGGCAAAGTAAATCTTTTCTCCAGACTTTGATTCCTTAAAGGAATTAGACAAAGATTTTTTTCCTTTTGGCAGGCCAGTTTGGACCAGAATCCAAAATTGTTCATTTACCTAGATTGAGAAGATAATCTTTTATTAGAAGTTTGGGTGGAAAAGCCATGTTTCATGTTGTTTTCCATGTCAAGCCCTCATATGTAAACTTAGGGCAGGTTGGGCTCATCCAAGCAATCTATTCCTGGCCCACAGCATGTGCTTATTGGCATTGCTGAGGGTCATGGAAGAAGAGCTATTCACAGGGTCCTTGCTCATCTGCCATGAATTATAAGGGGCCACTGTACTCTGTGCTGGTACATGGACAGACTGTGAATGAATTGGCACAGATAGTCCAGCCCATTCGTGAGTGGTTGGAAGGGTTTGGTGGGAACCCATGAGGATGCTTACCATATTAGAAGGCTGAGACCAAGGATGCTGAGACAAGCAGTCGTTGCTGTCTCATTGGCCACATTCCACTTGTAGATCAGCACAATGGCAAAGTTCAGCAGGGTGGCAATGCTGGTCCATGTTGCATACAGCGCCAGCCCATTCTGGACCTGCCAAATAGCACAGCAAGATGATAACCAGTGATAAAAAAAGGTGATTCCCAATTGTCTTTTGTGATCCATAGGTACTTGGGCAATTAAACCAGCCTTCCGGACACAGCTGCAGGGAAAGCCCCTCAATACTGAGAAGGGTTGAAGCCTTGGCTTGCCCAAAGTACCCCAGAAATCCACCCCAGCTGCAGAATTCCACATATAAAGCCCTGTGATCCCATCGTCAGGGACTTCCCATCCACACCCCAAAGCATACAGTCTGCCTGGCTGCCCAGCCCAGCTGTTGCAGGCTGCTGTAACTGGCAAAGAGAAAGCTTTCTGGATCTTAGCAACCTCCCAGCAAATATCTTTGCCACATGGAGCCTGAAGTGGGTACTGTCAAGGGCTGGAGTCACTCCTGAGCAAGGATGGGGAACCCAGCTATTCCCATTTCCTGTGTTACAGTGCAGTACAATAGTGTAAAGGACAGCCTGCTCCCAGTTTGTATCAAGAGATGCAGACACATTTCCAGCAGGGTTGGTAGGAACTTTTCTATCCAAACCCTCCCAGCTTTGCAGACTCCCCCTTCACCAAAAACCCTCCTAGCTCCTTGGAGGAGCGTGTTAAGCTCTGTCACTGAACAATGTCAACATCAAGCAAAGGAATCAAAGGTGGTTAAAGCACACACAGGCATGGAAGGAACTGCAGGGTGAGGTGTCCTGGATGGGGAGGAAGGGGTCAGGGTGGTAGGTTTGAGCTAGGAGAGAGGAACAGGGGAGGAACAAAGGAGTGGTGGAGTATGTTTGTGTTCTCTGTGCAGTTTGCCAAGGAAACACCCACTCTTGTCAAGGACAGCAGAATCATCATTTCCTTCCAGAATCTGGCAAAATCAAAGGCAGATGCACTTGAAACCTTGAGCAGTGTACAAGAAATAGATAGCTTCTTGTAATCAGATACAAGGGACATCATCAGCTACAGCAACAGAAGCCACCCATAGCAATGGCTTTTCCCTCTGCAAGAAATATTCTTCCCATCCCAAACACAGGTCTCGGCTGAAGTCTTCACACTTCACTGGAAACTTAATTCTGTAGCAGCAAAGGAATATAGAACCATAGAATCATAGAATAGTTAGGGTTGGAAAGGACCTTAAGATCATCAGGTTCCAACCCCCCTGCCATGGGCAGGGACACCTTGCTCTAAACCATATCACCCAAGGCCTCATCCAATCTGGCCTTGAACACTGCCAGGGATGGAGCATTCACAACCTCCCTGGGCAACCCATTCCAGTGCCTCACCACCCTAACAGGAAAGAATTTCCTCCTTATATCCAAGCTAAATTTCCCCTGTTTAAGTTTTAACCCATTACCCCTTGTCCTACCACTACAGTCCCTAATGAAGAGTCCATCCCCAGCATCCCTATATTCCTCCTTCAGATACTGATATTGCTCTGAATCTTTCCCATTATCATAGAAACATAGAATCATAGAATCAACTAGGTTAGAAAAGACCTTTTAAGACCAAAGACCAAGATTATGCCCAATGAGAACGATGCAATTAAGCTTGTGTGCACCTGCAGCAAGCACAAGGTGAAGTCAGGGCAGAAGCCTTCCCTTACCCATCTCCTGCCATTAAATCTCCCTTGGTACCAGCAGCACTGCACAGAGCTTTTAGCATTTACCAACAGCCGTTTCCCAAGTGTCACCTACTAGGATGCGGGTGAGCCAGAGCTCAGCTTTGTGGCCCTTCACAAGCCACGAGGAATGGGCTCTCAAGGCTCGGTGTGAAATGACGAGGCAGACAAACGTAGCAAGAGTGAGAGCTACCAGGAGCACCAGGGCTGGGAGGAGGCATCTAGGACAAAGAACATACACACACAGCATAGGTTTTTTCAGTGGTGCCTTAATGCCTTAATTCATAGCTTTAGTGTTTGCTGGCTTTAAGTTAATCAGCCTTTAATAAAGGTAATCACTACATGGAGCCTACTGCTGTTCTACTGTGTTCATCACAAAGTTATTATTTTCCTGGCTGCAACTGATTTCTTCATCTCTTGACAGTGGTGTTATTATAAGCCCTTCATGTGACCATGATTATGAAAACAAACCGAGGCAAGGAGCTTAACTGTATTTACAAAGAGAGGCACAGCTCCTGTCTTACCTGTGGAGGAAGAACAACACGGAACAGCGGCAACATTAGGGGATCTTAGACTTCAATACCCAATCCACCTCATGGGCAAGATAATATTGTGCCAAACTTTTATGAAGGCTACCTTTAGCTAAGGCCTGCCTTGAAGTTTTACAGGTCTGATTAAGTGTTCACACAGAAGGGAAGGGCAAAATAGAGTATTCAGACAGTGCCAACAAGAGGTTTAGAAAGCATTTGTAACAAAAAGCAACTTACTCTCGGTCCCACAGAAACAGCCATGCAATATTGAGGCCATTGTTGAGTATCCACACTGCATAAAAAGATATTGGCAGCAAGTCTGGTTTTATGTAGACACATCCAAATTCATTCCTGCCAGGAAAAGTGGTTATGGAGAAAGGCATTTTTCTTCTGCATTGACTAACCAAGCTTTCCTGCCTTCATTTTCCTCATACCAACAGGGACTCTACACTAGAGTTAAGTATTTCAGCCTAAATCAGACTATTTCCCCTCTGCATCTTTCTCAGACACACACTCCTTATGGCTTTCCCCATCAGAACATTGTCCCACAATACAGAACGTGCTGGTCTCTGCACATAACTAAAGACTGCTCCACAGATGATGCAAAGCTTGTGACACTGGTGGTGGTAGCAATGGTGTGATCATAGGATTTTAGCCCAGTTCCCAGGGAGAAAAGGCTTATGGGATCATAGTGTGAATGCATATGTAGATACACATTTTACGTGTGCACACATACATGTATATGGACTTGATCACTCTTGTACAAACACATACATCATTCTTCCCTCAACCTTCAGTGTTGCCAACTGAGAAATTCTTACAAGTCATGTGAAAACAGCAGATACTTAAACTAAGCAGTCCATGGTCCCCCTTGACAGAAGAGCTGCGATGTAAGTGTATCCCACAGAAGACATCACAGTACTACAGATATTACATGAGGCAGTTATTGATCTTACAGCCCCAAAACTTCCCAATGCCAAATCTCTGATCTCTCACAGCAAGTAAACTCAAAGCATTAGCTCCATAACTCAGTAATTTTGCCCCTGTGAATTCCCAGCCTCTAGCATTGGGAAATACTACTGGGTAACAGTCAGATCACATGAAGGAGTGGAAACGAGGCCTCATGCTTTGTAACGTGCCCACACGTTACAGCAGTTCATACACAACTCCAAACTGCTTCTCAGCTTTGACCCTCAACCTAAAAGATGCCGATCTTCAGCATGTCAAGGGAAATGACAGTGTGTTTACTCTGGTTAGGAGGCCCAGAAAAGGGAGTAAGAGACTGAACTACAGAAGGGAAACACCATTATCTCTTATGTGTACCATAAGCAGGGCAAATACCTTCGACAGATCCCCGACAAGGCATAGAGAAGCCAGGCAAGCTGCCAGGCATAGATGACATTCCAGATGAGGAAAGTCCAGCCAGCTGGTGTGAAGTCAGTGTTGTACTTGGCCGAGATGTTTCCAGGGGTTGACCTGAACAGACCTGTGGTGGTGAACGTTATTGCAGGTACAAGTGTTACTACACACCAAGGATGGGGAAAGACTCCTGAATTCCCTCATCTTGTAATCTTCCTCAAGGCTTAGGCCATACCTCAGTGAATCTGAGGGAGATGAAAGGATGCCAGAGGTGAAACCAAGCCATGTGCTGCAGTTGGCTCTCCTTTAGACACCCGTTACAGAATCACTGTCCCAGTGGGGATCCCTGAGCACCTTCCCTCTCACACAGAACCAGAAAAGCCAGTTGCATGCAGAAGCCAGAGAGAAGCACAATGCCCACTTCTGACAGTTTCAGCTGGGAAGTGTTCAAACCAGGCATCACTGACCTCAATAAGCATATAGCAGCTTTCCCCAGGATGGAAGGGCAGTGTATGCAAAGACTGCCTTTCACCTGCACTAGACCCAGGTTCATCCAGGACAAGACCTGGATTTCAAGGACTGGATTTCAGTCCCCTGGCTGTAATTCCTGAAGGATACACCAGCTGCTTCCATCTTTCAAATATAAAGGTGTATTTGGAGAAGCAGTGTGGTAGCAAACAGATCTAACCCACCTAAGGCATTGTAAATCATCAAATGACATAATGCATGAAATCCATCTCTGAACAAAGCCAGTTTGTTTGCATTACCTTTGAACGTCCCAGTGGCATCTCCAGCATTCAGTATCACTACAGCCACGAAAACAGCCAGAGCCAGAAGCATCACCAGAATCTTCAGCTTGTGCATGGCATCCATTTTACCCTGCCACAGATTAGAGGTATTGTTTGGCTATCCTGATGCATGGCTGGGTTTGTTCCATATCCAGAGACTGTTTTAGAAATTGCATTGTAAATTCCCCAGTTTTTACTGCTGACTTGTTTGTGGTGTTTTCCTAAGAACCAAAAAGGCCTTGCATGGGCTAGGAGCATCTGCCTTTGAACCAGCATCCTCTTGACAGTGCCAGCAGCCCAGAAAATTGCCCCAAAGCAGGGCAAACCAGTGATACCTCCCCAGAATCCTCTTCCAATAGCTCAAGGATTTCTACTGGTAGCATCTTTAATAGTGTCTCATGGGTTTTTAAGTCTGCAAACTCTCCCCAGCTCATTGGATCACTTGATGGATCTGGAAAAACCTGTCTCAATGCCTGAGATTTTCTGTTAACAGCCTTCACCAGCCCCTAGGACTGCAATGGCTCCCCCATGAGTTTCAGATGGGGAGCAAACACTACAAACAGCTAGGAAGGCTGCTGGGCTCTGGACAACACTGACCCACAGAAGCAGAGAGACCTTGCTAGGCTGCAGAGCAGCCTGCTCTGCCACCACCCATCCCTTACTGGCATAATGCAAGAGAGAGCTTGGGTTTGGCTATGGATGCATTGCACAGGGTTTAAGACCTAAATAATTAGCAAGTGTAAGAGTGATCCCATCTTATCTTACACAGCTATTGCAGCTTTAGTGAAGAAAACAGCCTATCAGTTTTAGGAAGAAATATGAAAACCTTAGGCTTGGTTTTGCAGGCAGGTACTTTTGGGTTCAATGTAGCTTTTCACGTTTACCTCTGATCCTACAGAGCCTGCAAAATAACTTTTCATGATGGTATGACCTCCTTTTCTATTGGCTGTAGGTAAAATTTAAAGGCTTTAGCAGATCTCAAGAACTTTACAGGTTATACAAACTACACACTACAGTTTTTCAAGGTTTATACATAGTGACTTGAGCTCTCCCAAGTGATCTCTGTTAGTCCAGCATTTATTCTATCAAGGAAAAGTTGTATGCCACCTGCAAGAGTAAGCATACATGCATCCACACTATAAGTAACAGATTCCCTCTCACAGTTCAGTACTTGAATGGCCTTCTCTATACAATGGCACTTCAGTGCCTTCCAGGCATCGAATAGTAACTGGAATGGCAGGAATAACTGAGTTGTTCCAAGCTGCTCAGCACTGAACTAATAAATTCCAGTCCCCACTTCAATGGATGCTTTTATAGTTCTGGGCTTTGTTCATGGGCTGAGCTGCATCCAGACACATCACAAGGAAGTGGGAGGGGAAATTCTGCTTTCTGTAAATCCCTACGAGCTTTTTCCTTTCCAGGTCCATCAAAACAGAAACCCTTCTTTAAAAATTAAAATCCTATGTGGAAGAACTCATTTAACTCAAGATGTCAAACCCCAAAACGCAGTCTTCAGTGGATACACAGCAAGCTCTGAAAAGGAAAATCCACTTGCACTATTAAAGATACCACTTCTGTCTCAGGAAATAACTGACCCGCAGATTCCAGAACGCAAGGAAAATGTAGGATCGGAAATATCACTGCACACTTGTCCTGTTCTTGAACATTGGCTTATGGCCACTCCAAAGCAGCACATGGGAATAGTTGGCCCTTTGATTTCACCGTCAGGCTAAATCTGTGTTCTCCTGACAGTGCTGTAATTGAATTCAGCACCACATTTCTCTTTTGTTAGCATATTTGGAAGAGAATTGATTAGGCAGCTTCACAGAAGCCCATACTTGCTTATGGAAGTCTAGGAGGAGAGTCCTATTTTAAAACCAATCGATAGTTTCACTCCTGTCTGCCACCGCCTGCCTCCCTCTATTTACCACCAGCAGTACCCATCTGCAGTATTCCCCTGCCTGCAGTTGTCACTCCCAAACACCCTTTAGAAGGATCAGGAATACTACTCACAAGGATCCACACAGGCTTTTTGGCAGCGTCTCACAGCTGTAATTCAGCTACCACCAGTGCCGAGGAGTCTCCGCTGCTCAGTCTTATCTAGAGAGATTTCAGACAACCTGATGATCAGGCATCAGTGTGAAACCACAGCAGGCAGGCACTTCCTGCCCGAGCTCCAGCCTCCCCAAAACAATCACTTGTATCTTGCATAAGTGCTTACTTAACGAGGGCCTTTTGTAACAGGCAGAGCAACGCAGGCTCCCAACTTGCTGGCATCACAAGCTAGCGAGTGTGTGCTCTCCGGCTCCCTCCCGCTTTGTCTTTCCCTATCTCTACCACAAGGAGGGAAGGAAGCTCGGCACTCCACTGCAAAACACTGCATCTCAAGCTGATAGCTAGGGCAGCATTCCTGTGTGGGAATGGGGACGCTCAAAGGGATAGCCGCAGGAACAGCCTGGGTTGGAATGGATCCTATGAGCAGCTACAGATCTTCCCATAGCCCCAGATGGAGCTGAAAGCTAAGCTTCTCCCAGGACTGGGCACTTGGGGACATTCTATAGTGCTAAACATCATAGCTATGAGTAACTTCTCTTGCACAGCAAGCACATGTATAGCTATCTTGTATTTTTATACTTCATATCTATTCCTTGCAGGACCACATGCTGTTGAAAATCCCTGAACCTGGCCTTAAAGCTGGACTTCCAGGAATTACTGCATCTGGAGAACTCTAGAAACCACGGGGAGACTCTTCCTCATGTCAGAGCCAGAAGGAAAAGGCAGGCAAGAAGGTAACCCCAAACCTAAAGTACTGCATGGGCTTTTCCAAGATTTATTTTAAGATACTGGTTTCAAGCATTTTGTACAAGTAAAGTTTTTGTTTACGGATACAGAAAAGGTTCCTGCCCCCCATTCCAAGCCAGTCCCACAGGAACAGAACAAGCCACACTAAGTGATCAGTCTCCACCTGCATCTCTGCCTGCTACAGGACCGCAGCCTCACCACATCCACTCCATTCATTTTATGTTTCTGCTTGTTTCCCCTCAAATTTAAATGATTATGGCCAATCAAAAACATGCTTCATCATCAAGATGATCCTTATCTTGTGCAACTACAGTGCCTACCAAGCAGTCTTGCTGGGGACTCCTGCACGTCAAATCTAAAGGCAGTGAATAAACTAGCACCTATCCTCAACCATTACAAGCAACATCATGGGGCTGGGAGCAAACCCTTCTGGAGCTTCCTTGGCCTTTGGAACAGGAACACAAAGCTTGCTTGAACATGGATTTGCCAACTGTGGAGAAAGGCAGGGTACCCAGCCAACACGGCCATTGCCTCTTATCAGTGTAGGTCTGCAGTCCACCCTCTGAAGGTATTCTGATGAGGAAACCAATGGCTTAAGTATGATTATTTCATATCAGCCAGATATTATGCTCTGCACACTGATCACAAACTGCTCACGCATAACCTGTTCCTTGAAGAAAACTAGGCCTGAACTCAGTGTGGTGGCATTAACATCTTTCCTGTTTTCACTTTGTATATCCCACCAGGTATGCACACGGTCATTCTCCTCTTGTCCTAGAAATGGCCTTTGAGTTACAAGTTTATAAGCACTGTCACAGCAAGTATGGGCTGAAATACAAGCAGAACCCTCTTCCTAGTATGTTAAAACCTACAGTGCACTTTTTCCACACTGGCCCATGCCTTATTTATAGCCTACTGTATATAGTATGCATATAGGTCCTGGTTTCAGCTGAATAGAGTTAATTTTCTTCCTGATAGCTGGTATCCATATATATATACACATACATATATATGTTTTTACTCATCAGATACTCTAAATGACCTCAGTGTGTTAGATACTGCATTTTCACCCAGTGAATAGGTGGCCTGAAGTTCTTCACTTGATGCAGACAAGTTTATCTCACACATACCTGTTAGGCACAGCTGATCAGCTAGGTCCACACTGATCTAAACCCAGGGCAAGTTTTGTGCAGGAAACATTGGCCAAGTGGGAGAACCAGCACATTTGCTGTCCCATGCTCTTGCTGGTCATTTCATGATGCATCTGTTTTGTGGCAGAGACAAGTGGAACCAATGCCACCAGAGCAGTGCCTTTGTCCTGTTTCCACAGCAAGCCAGGCAGGAGCTTGAGGCTCTCATTCTGGGTTTCAAAGTTATTTTCTCAGAATAAACTGTGACATGGGCCTTTGATGAAATATTCAGAGTTATTTTATCATGCAGCTTTACAGAAATCCCCTAAAGTATGTTAGTGGAGTACAGTGGAATGTACTTAGTGCTTATAAATGTGTTAAAACCGAACAGCTCTTGCTTCACTAGGCTGCACAGTATTGCCAGACGTGGGATGCTTGGTGCAGCTACAGCTCTAAAATACCAGTGTCCAACTCAAAGCAAGCATCCATGGAAAGGCCCTACCTTTCTAGTGTGTCTTCACCAAAACAACTCTTAGACTTATATCTTCCACAGGGATTTCAGTTGAAAATCCTTGCTGGCCTGTTGAGGAAGAAAAATTGTATTATTAGATGAGTGCCAGATGCAGTTATATACATTTCAGCCTCAATGTTTGTGTGTACAAATGGAAGCATAATACAGTTCACATTCATGAAAGGATGTGTTTTGAAATCAAGATACTCGGCAACAATGCTGAATGAAATCACGATCCCACAACACATCCAGTGTTCAGTACTTCAAGGCAAGCTGTTTTGACTTAAAAGTAAGTTTGTATTGATCCTGGGCCATGATAGAGGAAAACAGTTTACAGCTAGCAACCATCACTGCAGTTTCCCACTGATAAGCAAAGGAATATACAGACTCTCTTCCTGTACCACCAAAAACCTTTAAAAGGTCCATCTTTAGAGCCTTCATTTGTAATTTACTAAAGGAAAAGAGGAAAAAAGTTTCTTTTCAAGGAGGAAAAGGAGAGCTACCATGCCCATCCCTCCCCATGCACACTCCCTGCAGCACCGTGGTGTGCTCCACCAGCACCAGTGCACCTCAGACACCAGTTCACACGCAATAGCAGGGCTGGTTGCAATGGGACCACAGCTCCACTGTCACTCACCTGTGCACTAGAAAGCAGTGTGAGCATTTACAAGGTGCTGAGCTAGCACGAGCAGACTTCACACTGGAATTAGAGCCCTGCTGACAAGAGGAAGATCGTTTTTTAAAGAAAAGAAGAAAACCATGGTTTCTCCTTGTAGTAGCTGAAATAAGACATTATGAGCAGAGACAGCTTGAGTCCAGCACAGAAAGCTGAAGGCAAACACTTTGTACCTGAAGTGACCACTGTGGAGGCCCTGCCCTCTATTTTGAGTCATTTTGCACTGTGCAGGAACTGAGACAAGTCCACTTGTGGCCAGCTCACCCACTTCATGGCCCACACTGTCACTAGCAGCAAACTCCAGGATGCAAAGTACTAGAAAAGCCACTCTTCCTCACCAAGGAACACTTTATTGCCATCTAGGTCAGAGGTATTTCTCTCTTAACAGGAGACAGCAGAAACAGTTGAACAAAACCAGGGCCAGGGTATGGTTATATTAGTTTCCAGCCAAGCAACTCAAAATAGAACAGCCTATGAAAAGGAGAAGCTCTCAACATCAAAGGATGTGCACAAGCAGGGAAGAGCTGACCTGAAGTGAGTCCCAAATGCAGATGTGAGATACAACCCATACAACTCCTTGTCTAGATACAGCCACCAGCAAGGATTCCTGGGGCAAGTCAAACTCTCTTTGCCCTGTCCCACGGCAAGCCAGGAGCTCAGCAGCTCCAGCCCAACAGAGCCTTTTGTTTCCATGACCAGCACTGATGGGCTTAAATCCAAAAAGCATCCCCTGCCCCTGGAGCTCCAGTTTACCCTTACAGCCACTCGCTTCAACTCCAACCTTTCCTATGGGAAACTGGCACCCAGGAGTCAGTAAACCCATTGGAAATTGTTTTCAGGTCAGGTTCAGCAAATGCTGACAACCAAATATACTAATCTGCTAACAACAGCTCAAGCATCCTAATCCTGCAGTGGGTTAATCTGAGTGCCTTCAGTGCCAAGGATTAGCTTTTCCTAGCTGCTAGAATGGATGGGATTTGCCCGGGCGCACTAGGATGGACACACAGTGGAGAGGATCTGTGCTAGCAATCCCCTTTGTGTATTTTAAGAAGGAAAATCATCTGCTTTTTATTGCTGGAGAACAGAACAGACCCACCCTTTGGCAGCCAGGAAATCTCCCTAGGCTTGAGGGAGCAAGAAGGGCAATAGGAATCCACTACCCACTTATTCTCAACCAGACTTTTAGGCAGCTGCCATGCTGAAACTCATTGACTGATCTCCAGATCTTTTCGTTGAACTCTAGAGTGAGGACATTGCTGAAATTACATTTAAGTAACTCAGAACTAACCCCTGCCCCACTCTTGAGAGAAAGGGAAAAGACAAAGCTCTTCTGTCTTTAAGCTAAGCATAATGAAGCAAACTGAAAATACTCCCCAGATGTTCTCACTTACTGGTTAACCATTGGTAAATTGCCTTCAAGGGCAGCCCAGGAGTCTGCAGCAGTGTCTGGCAGGCAGCATCCACAGCATCAGACCAGGAGCAGGCAGTGCTTTCTGCAGCTGGCAGGCAGCACCCAGCTATGAGAAACCAGAAGCTCACCTGTGCAACCCACCCCTTTGAACGGGATGACTGTGAAGAGATGACAAGAACAGCGTTAAGCAGGGATGAGCAAGGACACATTTATATGGCTGGATAATCTTCGTTTTGGAAACTTCAGTTTATTCAATCACGTCACTGCTGTTGCTCACAGAACTGCCCCATATCCTCCTCTGACACTGGAGCAGTGACACACAACCAACCACATCCATTCAATACCTTGTTTGGCCAGCATCACTTCTGTATCCTTATTGACTTTAAGGAGACATACATATTAGCCTCCTGGGCAGCTTCTCTCTGCCCTCCCCACTATCACCCCTGAACGCTTCACAAGCATTGATAACTCTATGAGAAAGAGACTCAGGAAACAAGCCCCTTGCGCTGACAGCAGCACAGCAGATGTCCGTAAGCAGTCAGTGGGGCTACCTCACAGCCCACACAGTCACCCAGCATGACCAGGAATAGAGACAGACAGCAAGGGAGAAAAGGCACCTGGATTGCAGTGAGGGCACAAGTTTTTCTGATTTCCATGAAAGCAGAGAGCTGCCTTTATTTTATAGCTGCAGCATTCAGGTCAGCAAGAACCTCTCATGCAGAAAGCCTGCTTCGTAACTTGGGTGGCCTGATTTCCTTTATAGCATTTTTGTGGCACTTTATATGCTTAAATGAAGAAGTGTCACCTTTAATTGACAGCATCCAATGCACCTCTCACACGGGCAATGTGCATCTGAAGCCCAGCCTTTAGAAAATGAGAAACACAGCAAACATTTTGATTGCAGTGACTATCCTACAAAAGGAAAGCACGAATCTTAAACAGAGCAGTTCACAGCAGTTGAATGCCTGGCTTTAGTACGAATACTCCTTTAACATAACAATTTTGCAATCTAATTATTTAGGTATTTTTTTTAAATGCAACTGGAGTATATATAAAATACCATCACATGGAAATATATCACCTCCTACACAAACCATTGGCAGAACTAGAACATCTAGTCCCATCATTGTGGAAAATGAGTGGAACAAGGCTCATCGCAATGCCTTACAGATAAGGAAGGCGATTTTTACTGAAAATAATCCAATAAAGCTGTGTGGATCCACAAAGAATCCACCAAGCTGTGTGGTTCAGTTGATACGCTGGAGGGAAGGAATGCCATCCAGGAGGACCTTGACACGCTTGTGAGGTGGGCTGATGCCAACCTCATGAAGTTTAACCATGCCAAGTGCAAGGTCCTACACCTGGGTCAGAGCAATCCCAGGCACAGCTACAGGCTGGGCAGAGAAGAGATTCAGAGCAGCCCTGCGGAGAAGGACTTGGGGGTGCTGGTCGATGAGAAAATGAACATGAGCCGGCTTCAGTGTGCGCTCACAGCCCAGAAAGCCAATCGTATCCTGGGCTGCATCAAAAGGAGCGTGACCAGCAGGTCAAAGGAGGTGATCCTGCCCCTCTGCTCTGCTCTCGTGAGAGCACACCTGGAGTATTGTGTGCAGTTCTGGTGTCCTCAACATAAAAAAGACATGGAACTGTTGGAACAAGTCCAGAGGAGGCCACGAGGATGATCAGGGGACTGGAGCACCTCCCATATGAAGATAGGCTGAGAAAGTTGGGGCTGTTCAGCCTGGAGAAGAGAAGGCTGCATGGAGACCTCATAGCAGCCTTCCAGTATCTGAAGGGGCCTATAGGAATGCTGGGGAGGGACTCTTCATTAGGGACTGTAGTGATAGGACAAGGGGTAATGGGTTAAAACTTAAACAGGGGAAGTTTAGATTTGATATAAGGAGGAAGTTCTTTACTGTAAGGGGGTGAGGCACTGGAATGGGTTGCCCAGAGAAGTTGTGAATGCTCCATCCCTGGCGGTGTTCAAGGTCAGGTTGAACAGAGCCTTCAGTGACATGGTTTAGCGTGAGGTGTCCCTGCCCTTGGCGGGGGGGGTGGAATTAGATGATCTTAAGGTCCTTTCTAACCCTAACTATTCTATGATTCTATAAGTTGATTCTATCCCATTCCCACTCTTCATCAACATACTCACAGGCAAACAGCCATATGCCTCTGTCTGGGTGCAGCAGGAAGCACATGGAAGAAGACCATCACAGCCTCACTGCATCTTCTGGGGTCCTCTACATTTGAACACATCTTTTATACCCTTTATCAGTGGATACTACAATCAGTGTTGTACCTCAGTGTCTAGCCTCACCAATCAAGAGTTTCAGGCAAAACTGAGTCTTTTACTTGCCCTATCTGGGTATTTCGCAGCCTCAACAGTGTTGGTCATCATCTCGTTACCTTACCTTTAAGGCTGCAGTTTGTTCTTCGTCCTCTGATTATTTGTGTGAAACATGTGGTGGTTCTGCAGTCACTAACACATGCCTCTCCTTTAATCCTTCATGTGCTGTTTCCCCACCATCTTCAGCCATGTATTGCCATTAACACACAATATGCTGAATATCAGCATTTCTGCCACAAGCCTCCACATGAGGCAGGTCTTAACCACACGAGATCCTTGCACAGCTAATACCAGTTGAAAGCAATTCACTTCCTGTGGACCAGGGAACAACCCTGGCAGCAAATTACACAGCTTCTGGCCATCCTGAAATGCAGAGGTTGAAGCTTTCTGTCTATTGTGGCAGATTCTAGACAGCAGTCCTCCCAGTTAGGTCTCTTGTGTAGATGTTACCATACAAGCTTCAGTTCACCCTTTTTCCTGTATCCCCCATCCTTGCCTGTGCATCTGCTTACCTCTCTCAAGTCTCATTATTCCACACAACTGCCCCATCCCCTTCCTCTTAGGGAAAACACCATTTCTAAAAGCTGCATCTGCCAGCCTCTATCCTCTCCTCTCCCTCAAGGGTGTGAATAAGGATTTTTAGACCCGTAACTTGACAGAATGACTTGGCTACTTTAAGGCAAAAAGCACACTGTTTGCTCCGGGTTGATCTTCCAACCAAATTTCCAACTGCCTTTCAGAACCTGGAAGTGTTAAAATAATCAGTTATTTCAGTCAAAGACTTCAGACAAAGCATCAGTTTCCTCCTAAGCCTAGTGAAAAACAGCAAGACCTTCTGTACTGCAGCTTCTCAGAAACAAGCTAAGCCCGAGGCAAGGAAAAAAACAATGGAAAATGGCAGCAACGAGGGAAAACTGCAGCCAAAGGAGAAATTTCAGTGCAGTCAGAAGTGAGGAAATGGAGTTTCAGCAGGAAGCATAAGGATGCCATAACTGCAAACAATGTTGTTGGTTTTGCCTAAAGTAAATGCATTTATGATTGAAGACACATGCATGCACACCCACACATCTACATCCTCACAGAGCACTCTGCAGCCTCTCCAGGGTCATGCAGCAGGCTGGTTTTCTCATTCAGGCTGGAGACCACGCATGCTCATGGAAAGCCAGCTGAAGACAAGGGCTTTACCTCAAGAAGGTGAAATGCAGCTTCTCATGGAAGCATTTATGAGCCTACAACGGCCTTGCCACATACTGCTTGTGTCTTGCCTACTCCTGCAGATGGAGATCAGGATCTAACTCAGTACATCTGCTGATTTAGGGTAACCTGCTCTGGACTTAGATGAAGCTTGTTCTTTAGAGGGACTGGAATTCCTTCCATGGGTAACATCAGAATGTGTCTAAAGAACAGGCATCCAGAAAGGTCAGCAGCAACATCAGATACCTCTTTTGAAAGCCACTAGCAGCTGCTTGATGAGGACTGAGGTCCCACAGCACCTGAAAAAGCCAAGCAGAGTCCCAGCCCTGCACGCCTTGGAGAGGTAACATCAACTCTGCAACACCAGCCTCTTACCATATTTTCCACTGAACACCAAGAACCTATGTTGTCTTAGTCCAAATGCCCTTCAGGGTTATCACAGTGTTCCTCTGCACAACTCAGTCTTCAAAGCAGTGCCTGCCCTTCCTCCTTTCCTTCCTTCCTACTAATTAACTTGCAGTGAAACTTACTGTGTGAGCAGTTTTGATCTAGTTATTCTGCTGAGGTGTGTCCAAGTCAAAATCTACAGAGCCGTAGCAGTGCCATCACTGCAAGCTCGCTCTCATGCCCAGGAAGCTACGAGAGCTGTCAGCTCTCTGGATAATAGAACATCAACCTTTCCTTCTGTATTACAGCTTCCAAACGTCTGGAACTGCCAACAGAACAGGGCTTTGGTAGTCTGAAACTATGAGGCATCTTTCCTGGCATGTAATGTGGGCCATGTATAGTACAGGTGGCTGGCCAGTCAATCCCCACACCTTTCATCAGCATTAGCAGCTCAGGCTGTCACACAGGTTGAGGTATATCATGACTTTTCTTGTTTTAAAGTCTGGAAATGACAGTCAGGCCCCATAGATCTACACAGCATCAGTCCCACCAAGTGTATATTTTGAAGTCACAGAAAGGTTATTACAACAAAACAGATTATTTATAGGCTACATAATCTGCAAGTCTACCACGTGGCCCTGCAACGCTCTCTATATAAACACCAGCAGATGTAAGACCCACTTTGATCATCTACCTGTAAGGAACTGGGAATCAAGGAGAATCAGGACTAGTATTAACCACAAGAACACTTGCTCTGACCACAGAGACCTCACCAACAATATGACAATCAGAACACACGATTTCCTCCTTAAAAGGTAGGAAAAAACACACTGAAAAGAGCAGACCCCAACAGGAAGGGCTGGTTTTTCTCTGTGATACAGAACAGTCCATGCCTGTCAACCAAGACAGTTTTCCTTAAGTGGTTTTGAACCACAACAGCTCCAGTGTTTTCTGTCCTAACGCAATCACCCTTTGCGGCAAGCGCTGTTCAAACCTACCTGTTACAGTAATAAAGCAATAACAACTAGAGCCATCATTCATTATGATGAAAGGACTATCTGTCATGGCTGGACCACATTATATCAGTGTAGGCTATAAACATCCGATTTTACTCACCATAAAGAGTGCTTGCTCAATCAGAGAAAGGTGTTGAGCCAGA